ACCAGAGTTGTTTCAATCAAAAATCAGCAGAGAATGACAGTAAATAAAAACAAACAACGTGTTCCTATATTTCACATAAAAAAAAAAAGAATCAAACTAAAAAAACCCAAAATAAAAACATCTCCAAAAAGGCACACACATACCCCTGAAAATGGGACCCAAAAAACTGCGACAGGCGAAGGTGTGTTTGAGCTGCTGGAGCTAATTCACACACCAGCTCCAAGCCTCCGTGGGCTGGTGTCGCAGGGCTGTGTGGGTGAGGAGGCTGCGCCACCAGGCGGGATCACCGTGGCTGAGCCGTGGGCGAGGAAGTGCCTGTGCGAGCTGGCCGCCGCAGACGCTGCTTGTCCTGCCACCTCCCTCTCCACCGCCCTGGATGGGGCCATGTCCCCTCAGGCCTGTCCTCAGAAGAGCCTCTGCTTTTCCACACCCAACACGAGATATAAAAGTCGAGTCTCACCAGGTCCATCCTGAGCCACCCTCAATGTCGTCCATGACAAGAGGCTGCGCAACGGGATCTATGGAGGCGGCAAGCAGTGGCCAGGCAGCCCCACACAGCCAGGCCGAGGAGACAGAACACCGGAACAAAGAATCGTCAAAAGCAACCCCAAATGAAACCAAAATGTACACAGAGCAAAAACACAACCTGGCACGGCACCAGCGCACACAGGAGCCACATGTGAAATGGCAGGTGAGAAAGCAATGGGTGCAAATTATAAGAAGCGGCGCCCGTAGGGCAGCGGCAGGAAGCAGCAGTACGAGCTCTTGACATGGAGAACTTTTGACTAATGTGTGCGCCCTCACGCTTGCGTGCCCTTCTCACCTCAGGAAGGCCTGTCCTAAAGCCTGCTCTGAACCGCATCAGCCGGACAGTGCGAGGAGTGCTGGCTGCTGGGCCCCAGCCAAGGGGGCTGGAGGAGCCGACTGGGCCCCTGACTGCGGGGCTGAGTGGCAAGCCTGCCCAGGGCAGGTGCAGGTGCTCAGGGGTCAGGCTGCGCCAGCCCTATGAGACATTGGGGGCTCTGTTTGCTGGCTGACAATATTTTGAAGTGTTCCTGATGCGTTTCTGAGGGGCACCCCGGAGGCACGTGCCCCGTCACCTGGTGTGCTCAGGGACAGAGGCAGGCGCATTTAATCACCAGCAGAAAGGAGGGCTTTGATGACAAAAGGACTGTGAGCTTTAGTTTCTCTGTGTCTCTTCAGGGGAAAAAGATCATGAAGCAGCCCTGAATGCAACAGCTCCTTTAGTCTCATCCTCTCTCCCAGCTTTCCGTGGCATCTGCACTAAGCAGTCAAGAAAAGACGTTCAACTGGGGGGGGGCAGCAGCCAGGAGCCAGGGGGTGTTGGGCCTCACACAAATGAAGATGCACCTCATGGGTGCCTGGGCAGTTGCCACACGGGCCCCTGTGGCAGAGATTCTGAAAAGTGCATGTGTCCGAATAATATTAAGTTGCTGTCAGATATGACATGGTAAGTAGAGGTGACCTTTAATCCCCTAGAAACCATGTTAATGCAATGTTGGCTCCCAGCCTAGAGAAATGGGGTGATGGCCCTTGATCCAGGTGACCTGCCCCTCACCCGATCTGGTCTGGGAGTACCTTCTGGGGCTCATTTGCAAGCCCACTATTTCTAGAAAAAATGCCAGCACTGTGTCTATAGCTGGCTTTACCCCAATATGATCTAAGGTAAAAAAAATAAAGTTAAACGCAGCAGTAAGAGGACTGCCTCGGTATTTTTTTTTTTTTTTTGAGAGGCGCTCCACTTGTGCCCAGGCTAGAGTGAGTGCTGTGGCGTCAGCCTAGCTCACAGCAGCCTCAAACTCCTGGGCTCAAGCAATCCTCCTGCCTCAGCCTCCCGTGTAGCTGGAATTACAGGCATGCGCCACCATGCCCAGCTAATTTTTCAATATATTAGTGGCCAATTAATTCTTTCTATTTATAGTAGAGATGGGGCCTTGCTCTTGCTCAGGCTGGTTTTGAACTCCTGACCTTGAACAATTCGGCCTCCCAGAGAGCTAGGATGACAGGCGTGAGCCACCACACCAGCCAGAAGGCCAGCATTAACCAAATGTAAAAAACAGCATGACCTTCACAAAGGAAAAGAACAAAGAATACATATCACCAGCCCTGATGTGACAACTCCAGTCCTGGGGGTTGACACCTGCTGCCCTGGAGTCGGAGCAGGCTGAGCAGGTGTCTCCCTGCCACCAGAGCGCTTCCCTCCCTCACTCTGAGGAATGTGCTCTGTGCACCAACTTCAGACCCAACGTGGGCGGCCCACGTTTTCCAGAAAGGCTCAAGCCTGCCACTGATCAGATTAGGAAGAGCCTGTCTACGTTGCCGTTTTATCTCTTTGACTTACTGGGGACTTAAGAAGGTTGAATTAAAAAAATATCAGAGTCCTTATCACCCTGACGTGAATCCTAGGGACAAAGAGCATGTGATCACTCACGCGGGGAGGGGTTCAAGTGTCCAGTGGATGTGCTAACAGTGCCTAAAGTGGGCACCACCTTGCCCATCACTAGTCAACAAAAGCAGGTGCTGACTTTCTTCTGGCTAGACACAAGCAGGGTGCGATCTGCGATTTCGCACTTGCTGGCAGGCCTTTGCCTTGACACGTTCCTGGAACAGGGGATGCCAATTTTCATGACTGTGGTGCCTGTGAGTCAGAATGCTTGGCCTCTGGGAGGAAGTGTGTCACGCTGAGTCCCCAGAACTGAAGCTCAGACAGTCAGCTGCATCTCCAAAGAGCAGATAAACCCCACAACAGCTGTTGGAGTGCACACTGGCCCTTTCTCTACACCTGTCCAGCTTTCATCCACTCAGGAGAAATTGCGATTAGATAGCCTAAGCTTTTCAATGTGTTGCAAAAGCTTGAAAAAAAAAAAACGATTAAGGGGTCGTGGGCCTTAAACTTCAGATTTCTATTGTAATTGTTTTGTTACTGTTCAAAAATAAATCCTTTGAGGCCTGGGATCATGTTCCAGTTTTCTTCTTTGAAGATTAATCTTGAGAGCTAGCGTGCTCAGAAAATAAACAGTGATATTTGCGAAACTCAACCCCTCAAAAAAATTCCCCAAAAGCTGGATCATGGGAACCCTTTTCTTCTCTCTTCTAGGTTTTTCCAAATAAGTAGCATGTTTATGGAAAGGCGTCCTCTAGCCCAAGCCTGGGGCCAGGCTGAGGAGAGCAGCTGAGGGTTGGGGGCGGCTCCCCTAGGCCCCGCGCTCACTGGCAGCCAGAGCTGGGGTGAGGTGCTTCTCTCAGCCCAGTTTCTTCACTGCAGAGTTCCCAGCTTCCTCTGTCCTAAGAAGCCTCAGAGATCTGGGTGAAGAAGCAGGAGCAGGGGCAGCACTTGGCCTTAGTCTCCTCCTCTGTGAAACAAGGTGACTGCCAGGTTGTATTTAGCTCCTAACGATCATGACTCAGAATCCCTTCACTTCCAGATTGGGCTTCTGTTTTCTAATTCTCAAACCCAGGGATGTCAGAAATTATTGGAACTGACTCGTTTCAGCATGAAAGGCACTTGGCCTCAGGGCAGGAACCGCTGTGGAGCAGGGTGTTGGTTAACAGCGAAGCTTACATAATGTAAGGCAGGGGTTCACGGTCTTGTGGCCAGACATAAAACCTTAGCTATTCAGACCTCCTGCCCTGGCAGATAAATGCCCTGTGAGTATTATAACAGGGCAAAGTTCATTCTAATAATGTAGGTGCCATCTGACACAGACTACACATGTGCACTGCTATGACGACATGAACCGGAGAAGTGCTGAGGGGCAGAAGAGACTCCTTCTCCAGGCTGATGGGGAGGGGCCCTCGCTGGAGAAGGGGCACTGCACTGAGTCTCAGGGGACTCCATCTCTGTCCTGTGGCTTTGGGTGAGTCACCAGGCCCCCAGGAGGACTCAGCACACCCATCTCAAATGAAGGGCTGTCCCAGCAAATCCCTAAGAAGACTGTCGGCTCTGACATGCCATGGTTATAGCATCTTGGGCAATGATCCCAGCTGATGGCTGGTCCAAGGGGTCTGCAGAAGAGTGTAAGTTGGAGGAGGGAGACAGACAGGAAGGAGAGATATAAAGAGAGAAAAAGAAAGGAAGCTCGCATGAAACACCCCCCAACAGAGACCGACGCCTAAGCTCGGCCCCTCTGAAGATGGGCAGGCCTGCTGGCTTGGCTGTGGCAATGGTTAGACCAGCCCTGCCCATCCCCAGCGTCCAGAGAGAAGTAGGCATCTTGGATGTCAGAATTGGCAGGTTTTGATCTGAGTGGTGGACGAGCTGTCCTGCTGTCAGCTGACTCTCACTTGGACTGCAGGCACGGCAGCTCTGCCTCAGGGATCAGGAGGGTCGCCTGCCCAGGGGGAGAGGTGTGTCTGGTCCCCCCAGGGACACTGATGTCTGTCCTGAGTGCGAGGGGCTTAAGAGCCTCCAGGGCTGAGTAGGGGTCCCTCCCTCCAAGCCCAAGCCTGGGTTTTGACAGCAGCAAACTCTTTTTACTAACCTACTTTTGTTCTTGTTTTGACAACAGGATATCTTCCTGGCTGTCCCCTGCATGAGGGAGACACCCCTAGCTGGTCATCAGCCAGGAGAGGCGAAAGGACCTTGAGCTGGAGAGGCTGGGGCGGGAGAGCACAGGAGCATTGGGCACTGGCTCATGACAGATCTCATTTCTCTTCAGCTAGTACTGACCCTGGTGTTGTTAGTTAACTTCTGTGTTGGACATTCATACACCTGAAGGCCCAGGAGAGTAAGGCCCCACGGGACGCTCCCCACGTCCTCAAGGAAACCGAGCCATCCAGTTTTCAATGCACCACGTGCAATTTCTGCATCTCAGGTTTGCTATTTCCAGAGAAGCTGTGAAACGCCCCCATGACACTTCAACCAGCACCCCTTCTGCTGGGGAACCTACAGCCTTAGGGCCCCTCGTGGCCTTCTGGATCCTTGAGTGTGGCCTTTTGATTGAACTCAAATTTTACAGGATTTGTTCTGTGAAGTTTGGGTTCAGTTGAGGGGCCACACTTGGGGATCTACATGGCCACATGTGGCCTTGGGGCTGGAGGTTCCCCACCCCTGGAACACCTTTGGTCTCACTCATAGTACAAAAAGTTTCCAAGTAAAGAATTTGTACTTGGGAGGTTTGGACAGACTCACAGTTTCTACGCTATGGGAAGTAAGGCAAAGCAATTAATGTCCGTTGTTGTAAAGAAAAAAACTGCAGTCAGGCGGGCGAGACACCAGGTTAGCTGTTAGTCGAGTTTGTTTCTGGGAATTAGAGACGGGAGCTCTATGTGGGGCCAGGGCAGTAAAGAGGCAGCCTGTGTGGGCAGAGGCAGGCGCCACCACCAGCTGCCAAGGCCACACTCAGGGTAGTTGTGTGGGCAGTATCCTTTTTTGCAGGATGAATAGGCACAAGGGCACACAGACTGTCCACATCTTCCCATGTGGACAATGGAGTGGACGTGGTCTCCAGGAGCCAGCCTCTCCCTAAAGAAGCAAATGAGCGCCTGGGCCAGGAATGACTACCTTTTCACCCAGATCAGGAGTATGCTGCTGCAGTGACAGGTGGAGGGAGACCTGCCCCGCCCGCGAGCGTGGCTGTGCAGAGGGCACCAGCCCAGACTGTGAGGCGAGCAGACACCCCTCACTCCCATGGATCTGGACAGTCCTGCCTGGCCCAAGTCCTTGCTCGCTGGTCACACCTTGCTCAAGCAGGTGGCGCCTGTGCTGCTGACAGTCTGGGATCTGCTGGCCCCATCCCTGGCCACAGCCTGGCACAGCACAGAGGGGGCAGTTATGCACCCCCCCACCCCACCCCACCTGGAGGGAGAGGTCTGCATTTCCACTGCTTTCATCATCTTTCCTGCCCTGCGTTCTCTCCAGCTCGGGCCACCACACAGAGCTTTGGGCTCTGTTGTAGGTGAAATGGTCACCCCAAGCATGTGGCCTGGGATGAGGTCACCCCCTCTCCATGTACCACGCTCAGGGCCACCTAAACAGATAAGGCAGGAGAGACCCTCCCAGGTCTCTGTGCCAGGAAAGCTCTGCTACATGAGAACTAACTGCATATATGACATTGAACTCCCCAGCTTTGTCATCTTTATATTCTGTACCTACCATGTTTGTGTATTTCTTTTTTTTTTTCTTTATTTTTTTTTATTTCGGCATATTATGGGGGTACAGATTTTAAGGTTTCAATAAATGCCCATTTCCCCCCCGATGTTTGTGTATTTCTTTAAGAAGCCTCAAATCCTTTGGGGGGACTTAGTGGACACAAGTAACCATACCATAAAAACCCATCAAGCCTAGGACTGCCAAATCCACAGGCACTGGGCTGGAGGGATTTTTCTGACTGGTCAGATACTTTGAATCTGCTCCCTTAAAACTATCCCCTCCCAAGCAAAAGCCACAGTAATTTGTGCTCATCCTGGAAAAGTGAATACTGCCAAGAGCCCCAGAGACAGTAAAAGGAAGGAAAAGACCCTCCCCCTCATCCCTGCTAATGTCCCAGACCCTTACGGCCCAGGGGCATGAACCTCAGCAGAAAACCAGAGAAGGTGTTTCTGGGGCCGGAAGTCTGTGGCTTAAGGAGATTGTTATACAAAAATAGGAGGGGAAATTTGGCACCCCCGTCAGTCAGAGAGAGAGAGCATGGCCTTGTACTGTCTGATTCACGAGGGCTCAGCAGGTGGCAAGAGGAAGGCATAGGCTGTAACACAGGACAGGGGCTGGGTAGACGGCAGGCTCGGCTGGGCTGGTGACTCCTCACCATTCCTTGGGTTATGAGCCAGCTGTCTATAGGCTCCAGGTCAGAGTCCCCACCTCGACCTCTCTTCTGGGCCGAGAACAGAAAAGTCCCAGAAAGAAAAGTCACAGCAAGACCCGTGAGAAAGAAGTCAATAGCACATATTGTGGAAACAGAAAAGTCACTGTTCAGACTTCATCCTTTGTCATGTAAGGAAATGTAACTTCACGCCCTGCCCCCAACCTCCACCCCTGGCACCTCCCCCTTACCTGCCTGGAAAAAAGAAGAAAGTTTAGTGACCAAGAATCCCAGCAAGACAATACATACTCATGCCCTTGGCAAGTCTCCATGAGGCCATGGACTGCCAACGGGCGCTGCTTCCCCCATGGGGGCTACCAGGGTTGGCAGAAGCCAACTTTCCAAAGCACCAGCTTTTGCAAAATAATTTCTACTTTTTTCTAACTTATTCCTGCATTTTTTCTTTTTCTCCTTTCTAGTGGGCTGTGTATTCTTTTTCTAAACTCTTAACTTGAACGCTGAATTTAGGTATATTCTTTATTGTTTTTTTTTAAATGATAAGTAAAGATGACTGACTTGGCTGGACTCGGTTTGTAGAGGTGTGGCTACACAATTTTCTCCCCTTCCTTATTGTGTTCTTAATTTCTCCCTTGGCCCCATTTTCATTTCCAGGTCAGCATGGCTTGGGATGGGACAAGGTAACTGAAGTGCTACACATGGGATATGTGTGTACACACATGGCCACACACGGCCACACACAGCCAGTGAGTGCCCTGCTGCCCAGCAGCACTGAGGCTGTAGCCATGGCATCGCCCCATTGAGCAGCAAACATGAAAAGCAATCTGCCTACCACTGTGTGGAAAACTTGGTGGAGTCATCAAGACCTTTGAAAATAGGGAGCCAGTCCATGCCACGCATCCAAAGGGTAAAGGGCGGAAAGTCACCCACATCTCCTGGGCTTAGACCCAGGCCTGGACACTGATAAGGACAGAGGTACAGCAGGACACACCCTGGCATGCGCAAGGCAGGCCCTGAAGCCAGAGTGGGGAGCAAACAAGGTCAGCCTGGCTGGGGCACAGGGCTGTTTCCAGACCTGGCCAGGGTTAGCCAGGAGAAGCCGATGGCCACACCAGGCTGTGTGCTGGGGGCCTGGGAGCACAGCTCTCTGATGCTCCCCTAGGAGGAGGTGGGAGGACATTCTCAGAATGGGAGAAACAGAACCTTGACCACTGCATAGATTTGGGGCATCCCAGTGGCACTGCCCACCCTTTCTTTGGAAAAGTAGGGTGCTGAGAACCCAAGGCAGCTGGATGGCTCTTCTGTGCCCTCTGGTGGCCAGTGCATTGGGACACATGCCCTCAGATCAAGTTGGCTGGGCCAACGCAAAGGCAAGCTCCGCCCCACCCCACCCCAGCTCCTCATCTGCAGGAGGGGCTCGGCAACTGCCAGGGAGCCAGAGAAGAACTGCTGCCTGCCTGGGCCCACTTGGAAAGGGGCTGCAAGAAGCTAAAAACTGGCATTCGAGAAGCAAACAGCTCTTTGCAAACCTTCCTGTCCAGGGCATAGATGAGCCTCTAGCACAGCCGGGGACCTAACTGGAGTTCCATTTGTTGTGGGCAGCTGTTCCAAGGGCCCCTTTCCTCTCTGCCCTGCAAACAGACCTACTTCCACACACATTTCTTAGTTAGACAAAGAAGAGGAAAATCTCATGAAAAGCATTAAAGATATAACTCCTTTCCCCTTCAGTAATCTGAAATCGTGTAGAAACCATGGCTGTGCTTAGGGGCTCAAGCAGGTACCATCCTCCACTTCAAAGTGCCTCCCCCGTGGCTTTGCTCCATATCTAGACGTGGAGCTTCCCAGAACACCGCCCAGATACCACCCCAGCTGCTCCAGCTCCCCAAACAAATCCTGACCCTCAAGTGCCTTCTAATGGGGTTGGTACTGCTCTGCTGGGCCAGTGACAAATGACCACCAGAGATGTGGCTCAGGTCAACACTGTCCTTCTTGTGCAGGTCATGGTTTTGTCAGAGCACTGTCCACCCCCAGGGCATGGTAACAGGTGACCACGGAGACCCGTGTCCTGAGAACTCGGGGCCCTATGGTAGGAAGAGAAGGGGTTCCAGAGTGGGACACTCCTAGGATGGGATCCCCCCTTGCCGTCTACTCTCTGAGTGCCCCTCACCCCATCTCCCACCTCCCAGAGCCTGTTTCCTCCTGTGTATCATAAGAAAGCTCGCATGGGGTGGGGTGAAGACTCAATAAGGCACTGCGTGGTAGCACACAGGGGCTCCACGGGTCTCTCCTCAGTGTGTCTCTGGCCTCTGTGCAAGCCAGCTGCTGCCAAATTGTCCAGCTAGCTTTGCCAAACTGCCCGACTTTCCCTCCAGAAGCATCCAGGCAGAAAAATAAGGTTAAAGACCTACCCCTTCTGAGCTCTGTTTTCGACTGTCTAGTGCAGACGCGAGTCCTCCAGTAGCCTGGGGATCCTCATAGGTCACCCTGGGGACAAAGCAGCACAAGCAGAGTGAGTTCTCCCCCAGCGCTCATGGGGGGCCGGGACAGTGGCCTGTAATCACTTTCTATCCCATGGCACCTTCCTCAGATGTCCCTGGAAAACTGTTTCCTGTGACCTTGGCATTGGGCAGAGGCTAAGGGCTCATGCTGCCTGTCTCCCTGCAGCTGAAGCTAGGAGACCTATGTCCCAGCTCGGGTTCAGCCACTAATCTCCTCTGGGATCTGGGATACTGTGTACCTCAATGTCCCTCTCTTGATAAGGGTATCTCTGAAGCTCAATGACAGGATGTCAGAAGTGCCCTGAAAGTGCCTCAGAAGGACGGCCAGACAAAAGCAAAGTTAACTAATTCTTATTTTATAAGCAGCAGCCTCAGCAGCATTTGACAAGGAAGGTAGTATGCACCAAGATGCTGGGTCCGTGGGAAAGGTGGGGAAAACTGTTGCTCACCCACCTCTAAGCTGAACAGAAAGCGCAACGCATGCACAGCGCTTTGCCTCCCTGAGATGCAGGGGGATGTCTACTTTGGAATCAACTCCCCCAGTTCCATATGGTTCATCCTTGCCAGAGCTGCTGTGAGAGAAGCCTCTGCCCTGACCACTTTTTTAGGCAGAAAAATCTTGCTGCTAGGAACCCGGTTCAGTCCCTGCCTTGCTGCACCCTCCTCCTTCTGAGCTCCTCCTGTGGATGAGGGGCTGGGCAAGGTGGGGTCTGCAGCAGCAACATGGGGAGGAAAGGGAAGAGAAGAGTCACCTCCTGTGACACTGACAGAAATCGCACTCAAGTCAATCTCAAGGGGGGGGGAGAGTGTATGTGTGTGAGGAGGTTGGCATTTATTCAATACCTGCACCTAAAGCCAAGTCCTCACAGCTGTACTTCACAGTTTCTGGCAGTCCTGGACCCGGTAAATCAAAGGCCTTCTTGTGCTGGCCTGTGATCAAACCCGGATCAATCTCCCCAATATCTTTAGAGAGCCACTGGAAGGGGCCCCACTTACGTCTTGCGCTGCTCAGCCAAAGAGTTCCCTCTTGTCTGGGCAAACATGTCAAAGCCATCACGGGCATTACACTGCTGGAGTGAACTGAGGGTGCCACTGACGCTCTCTGTCCCCAAGTCTGTGGCAACAAAGCAAACGGGGACAGATGAGAACCAAACATGGATTGTGGATTTGATGGAGGGCCCCCAAGCTAGGACACCAGCTGGGCAGGTTCAGGTCCCATGGGGTGGAGGCAGGACTTTCCTAGGCAATCCCAATGCATCACATGCAGAAACAGCCAGGGCAGGGCCCAGATAGGGGACAGAATAGCCACTGCCTGCCAAGCTGGTCAAGGAGAGGAAAGAGTCATCACAATGAAAAGGAGATTACTGGTAGTGAGAAGGCTAGGACCTGGGCCAGTGTACCTGCATATTTCCCACAATGCCCTTCTAAGGTGGGCCCCTCATTAACTCAACCACAATGTCCAAGGACCTGGGTCATTTATTCATACATATAGCATGTATTTCTTACACTCACCACGCTCAGAGCTACAATTCAAGTGGACAAAATTAAATCTGACATGGTCCTTGGCCTTAAGAATCTCCCTAAGTAGGCCGGAGACAGACAGACAACTGTAGGGCTGGGCTTGAGACACTGGGAAAGACACAAGACCAACACAGTGAGTCTTTAAGGATGACTGAGAGCATGCTGGGGAGAAGGGGAAAAGGCAGATACAAAGACACGGATCTGGAAGGTCAGGATGTGTGAACAGTGCTCACAGGGCAAGGGGGAGGTGGCTGGAAAGGCGGGTGGAGGTGGCAGATGAAGCCTCCAAGGCTAGGTAAAGCAGTGGATGGTGAGATGCTGCACATTTTTTAAGAAGAGAGGTAGCCAGATCTAATTAGAAGTTTTTGTATTAAATCTGGTGAGCATATAAGCTGGATAGACTGAAGGCAGAGAAATCTGTTCCAACATAGAAATAGTGGCTACAGATATATGTGATATTGAGAAGCTAGAATTATGGCAACAAATAGGCCATTAAATAAAAGCTAACTTCAATTCAAAGGAAATGAAGGTAGACAGAGGAATATTTAGAAAAAGGGAAAACAAAAAACCAAGGCAGACGTCTGTCCTTGGAAAACCTGGTTTCTCCTGCTTTTGTTCCTTTCTTTCCAGGGAGGCGAGTGCTCTCAAAGCCATGATGCACACTGCTTGTCTGAGTGGGGAGGTGGCCAAGGGGTTCTAACTATCTCCCTACATGAATTAGCCATGGCTTGGAACCCTTGGGTGGTGAGTTTAAGAGCTCCAAGAGTGCTAATTCCTGCCTGGGAACAGCGCCTCCCTGAAAGCAAGTCAGCTAGGGCAGCAAGATACAAATGTCCACCAGTCGGGGGCACTCCCAACTATCCAATGACCCCTGGGCAAGCCACTTCCCCTCCCAGATGCACTCCTTCATCAGCCACTGGCCAATAACCCCACATCTGTCCCCCTCAAGGCTGCTAAATGAAATGCTTTGCAAGAAACAGGGAGGAGACTGGCACGGTGGCTCATACTGTAATCCTACGACTCGTGGAGGCTGAGCCAGGAGGATTGCTTGAGCTTGGGACTCAAGACCAGCCTGAGCAAGAGCGACCCATCTCTACTAAAAATAGAAATTAGCTGGGCGTGGTGCTGGGCACCTGTAGTACCAGCTACACAGGAAGCTGAGGCAGTAGGATTGCTTGAGCCCAGGAATTTGAGGTTGCTGTGAGCTAGGCTGATGCCATGGCACTCTAGCCTGGACAACAGAGTGAGACTCTGTCTTACTTGGCTGTCTCATGGCACTAAAGCCTGGGCAATAGAGCAAGACCCTGTCTCAGAAAAAGAGAAAGAAAGAAAGGAAAGAAAAAGAAAAGAAAGAAAAGAAAAGAAAGAGAGGAGAGGAGAGAGAGGAGAGAGAGGAGAGAGAGGAGAGGAGAGAAGAGAAAAGAAAAAGAAAGAAAAGAAAGAAAGAAAAGAACAGAAAAAGACAAGACAAGACAGGGAGTGACCAGCTCTCCTTTCTCAGGACCTGCTGCCAGTTTCAGATACATAATACCCTCATCTCTTAGGATGGAGTAGTGGTCTACAATGGTCTTTCAGGCAGGGGTTCTTTCTTTCTTTCTTTTTTTTTTTTTGAGACAGGGTCTCACTTTGTCACCAGGCTAGAGTGCAGTGGTGTTATCATAGGCTCACTGTAACCTCAAACTCCTGAGCTCAAAGCGATCCTCCTGCCTCAGCCTCCCGAGTAGCTGGGACTACATGGTATCGCA